CTCTTTTCCTCCTCCTCTCCCTTTCTCTCTCTCCCCCTCTCTTTCTCTCTCTCCCTGCTTCTCTTCCTTTATCTCTCTCCCTCTCTCTTCCTCCTCCTCTCTCTCTTCCCTTTCTCTCTCCCCCTTCCCTTTCTCTCCCTCCTTCTCTTTCTCTTTCTCTCTCTCCCCCTCTCTTTCTCTCTCTCCCTGCTTCTCTTCCTTTATCTCTCTCCCTCTCTCTTCCTCCTCCTCTCTCTCTTCCCTTTCTCTCTCCCCCTTCCCTTTCTCTCCCTCCTTCTCTTTCTCTTTCTCTCTCTCCCCCTCTCTTTCTCTCTCTCCCTGCTTCTCTTCCTTTATCTCTCTCCCTCTCTCTTCCTCCTCCTCTCTCTCTTCCCTTTCTCTCTCCCCCCTTCCCTTTCCCTCCTTCTCTTTCTCTCTCTTCCCCTCTCTCTCTCTTCCTCCCTTCCTCCCTCTCTCTTCTTCCTTCTCTCTCTCGTTCTTCCTCTCCCTCCCTCTCTCTTCCTCCTCCTCTCTCTCTTTCTCCCTCTTTGCCTCTTTTCCTTTCCCTCTCTCTCAGTTCTTCCCTTTCTCTCCGCCCACCCTTCCTCCCTCTCTCTCCCCCTCTCTTTCTCTCTCTCCCCCTCTTCCCCCTCTCTCTTCCTCCCTTTCTGTCTCTCTTCCCTCTCTCTTTCTCCCTTCCTCACCCTCTCTCTCCCTTCCTCCTTTTCTCTCCCTCTGCCCCACTCTCTTTCTCCTTTCTCCCTCTCTGTTTCTCTTCCTCCCTTTCTGTCTCTCTCCCTTTCTCCCTCCCCCACTCTCTTCTTTCCTTTCTCTTTACCTCTCTGTCTCTCTTCCACCCTTTCTCTCCCTCTTCCCCCTCTCTTTTCCTCCCTTTCTCTCTCTCTCTCTCTTCCTCCCCCCACTCTGCCTTTGCCTCTCGCTCTCTGTCTCTCCAAATAGAGGTTTCAGAAATTAAATACAACATCATATATATATTTAGTGTCACAACCCCTGGTATGCCCCAATTATGGGAGGAAGCTAACTGCTTCCATTATCTTTATATCGGCTCGTCACAAGAAACCATCCCGACAGAAACCCAATATTTTTACTGTTGCCTTTTTACAGGTTCTTACAGGTTCGATGTAAACAGGGTATGGCTAGCTGATGAGAGCTAAATAGCTTGAAATAGATCTATACTAGTCTCCCTTTATATATATAAACCCAGGAAGAATTGGGTACATTTAGGTTAATCAAGAGAAGGACTAGGAGTGATGTGATAGCAGTCTTCCACTACAGTATCTAAGGGGCTGCCACAAAGAAGAGGGAGTCAAGCTGTTCTCCAAAGCACCAGAAATAAGAAACAATGGATGAAAACTAATCAAGGAGAGAAGCAACTTAAAATTAAGAAGAATTTTTCTGACAGTAAGAACAATTAGCTGGTGGAACAGCTTGCCTTCTGAGATTGTGGGGGGATTTTAAGAAGAAATTGGACAACCATTTGTCTGAATTGGCATGGGTCTTCCTGCTCGAGGAGAGGGCTGGAGTAGAAGGCCTCCCAGGTCCCTTCCGACTCTTTTTATTCACATTGTTACTGGTTATTATGCAGCTTAGCAGGGGGCTTCTTTGCTGATAACCATGGTTGGTTGGACAGAGAAACCAAGGGTGACTAGGAGGCAGAAAAATTTAAAGTAGGTTTTAAAAGTTGCATTCCTGACTTTTGCCCTACTGGGGCAAATGATCTGTAAATCATTTCCAAACTCAGTGCAAGCCACAGATACATGCCTGGGATGGGAGGGAGTGGAATCTGAAGCTGTATAAGCTCTTGTGTCTTACTACTAAAATACTATT